ACGGAGATGCAATGGAGGAAATGAAAGTAGTCAGCATATCCATCACAATTACGAACTGCCTTGAGGATTAAAACATTTTACATTTGTCAAATTCCTCTGCTTCTTAGCAGTTGAATTATGGCAGAAGGAAGTGGATTTTACTTCATTTTGTGTGTTCTCCATTGAGAACTTGTAACAACTGAGAAAACGTAGGTCTTGGCTTACATCTCCTCTGCCTATAGATTGATAAATAGATAGATGAATGGATAAATAAATATATACTGTAGATAGATATTGTATTCCTTCTATAAGCACATCCTGTAAGAGTTGCACCAATGTAAAAGATACTGTCTATTGTAGGGAGAATAATATATAACATTGTCTCATGTTCCACAAGCCATTGCCAGAGAGCCTATCCAAAGAGACAGTTATATCTCTAACCAACACATTTGGAGCATAGGGCTGTATGTACCTTAAATGTCAAGGGGAATGGTTCACACTTAACCCTTCGATTATTTTTTTTATTTCATGGAGGAATATTCCATCATATGTTCTTGCCTGCAGTCTGAGAGACCCAGATAGTAATACTTGGGTATTACTTTCAGGAATTTGGATGTTAAAATCTGCATTCATTTAGTTTCTTTTTTGAAATTTGTTGTTATTTGCCTTCCAATTTCCAATATATAGAAATCATATTATTAGTAAGATTTATTCAGATGAGGTTTGCCATTGCTATTGTCTCAGGAGTGGAAAACTTGCCAAAGTCAACCAGTTGGTATTGGTGGCTGAGAAGATTTGAACCCAGGTTTCCAGGATGCTTTACAAGTTCCATTCCAAAATACAATGGCTTAAATTGCAAACATTCATCTGACATTGTTTCCTGGTCACCCACTGATTATATCTTAGGTCCTTCCATAAATATATTTTAAGTTTTGTGTGGACGGGATCAGTTGTCCACAGTTTTTCATGGGATATGATGAGTCTCTAATATTGTTATTGTGCGTATTTCTAGGCACATGCCTGGTTCCTGGAGTCAATACACAAATTTGGAAAGTAATGATAGTTTTGGATAAGTGCTGATATGACTCAGTTCATTAAGGAAAATAGACTGTTGCAGATGGCTGAAAATTTTAAAGGAATGTTTTTTAAAACAAAAAAAAAATCTAAGAAGCAGTTGTTACATTATTTTGTGTATTGTTAAGGTTTTAAAAACAATGCCTTAGCTGACAATAATTTTGAGTTGATGAAAATTGTTACCTGAAAACAAACCTGTATCCTCTGTTTAATTACTATTCGGAGTGAGACTGCATGAGATAAGCTGGGAAGATTAACAACTTTGGTATTATTTACTATCATCCGGCATCATCTTAGTCATAAATAGAGTAGATTTGATTGATGGATTGTTGAATGGAGGACCAACACAGAGAAAAATTCCTCCACTCACTTATTCACAAGGTAGCAAACAAACATAGTCATAAACATAGGTGCCTCAGGAGTCAGACTTAGTAAAATTATCTTCTTGTATCATGACCATGCTTTCTGGGAGGACTCTGGAAACTATTCCAGAAGAATAATTGCAACCCTTTTACTAAAACTGCTGTTGCTGCTTAAGAACTTACTGCACACTCAGTGGTTTCTTGAAGCACCAAACTGAGGACATGCCATTTACCAGGCAGTTATCAAAAGGATTACTAATGAATGGACAGCTATACTCTGGAGTGTAGGAAACAATTGTGTATTTAGTCACTATGTAGTTAGTCCAGTTTATAGCATACAAAGTGTTCATAATAAGTAAATTTTCCCATTCTGTGAAAGACACATGGGGTACTTTTAGATACAAAGGACTTTAACTGTTCCGTCTTCCAGGAGTTTGGTTTGCATTGTCCCTTAGTTGCATAAAATAGCATCCCTTTGCATTTTCCCCCAGGGTTGCTACAGTCTCAGCAGCACCCTGAAAGTTAAAACATTAACAGAGGCTAGAAGCCAGCCTGCAAGCCTTTTGCAGCTATTGGTTTAAAAAGGCATCCTTTTGGTCTAGAGACCACCCTTTTTCCTGGGGATGAGATCTCCATTTTGGAAAAGCTCTCCTGTTTTCTTTAGTATAGAAAAGGCCTCAGATGTGCTGGTGGCCAAGCTAGGCAGCTTGGACAAACCATTGTGAGTACAGTTACCCTCTCGCCTTTGAAACTGGTGCTGAGCTCAGATAGAGAAAGACCTGCTCTTTCTAAAGGACAGTAGCTCAGCGCTGGGACAGGGAATATCTCAGGATTTCTCTGCCATTGAGAGAGGCTCCATTACTTCATCTCCAAAACTAATCTTGAGCTTAGATAGGGGAAGACCTGCTCTTTCTGAAAGATCACAGCTCAGGGTTAAAAGATCCCAGGATTTTTCTACCATTGGAGAAAAGTTAACTCGGTAACTGAAGGAAAAAGAAAAGAAAGAACTTCTATATGGTTTCCCAAATTGACTGTTTGTTTTTGTGACTCCCATCAAGCTGTGCCAAGTCTGTCAAGGACTTTGAAAAATAAATGTTCTGTTGATGTTCAAATCTGGACTGGCCTCAGTTGCTAGAATCTTGAGCTTCTAAGAAAGGCACCCGCGGTTCACCCAGATAAAGAGAGAAGCACATCTTAGTTTTAACTTTATAGTGTCTGGGTGTGACGGCACATTAACAAACAAGGGGGTGAGAAGGGCAGAATATAAATACTGTAAATAAATAAATAAATAAATGCCAGTGCGCAATAATAGTGCAGTCTTTATGCAGTTTATTCATGCTGTGGCTGCTATCAGATGTCAGAGTATTGGCATAAACTTGCACTCAGTCTGCATTTATTATTATTTATTTACTCTGAATCTCGCCTTTCTCTACCCCGAAGGGAACTCAAGGCAGCTTTACATATGGCAACTATTCAATGCCTTTGGACAACAAACAATTGAAATAAACTTAAGTTGAAAAATTAAAATTAAATGCACATTAAAACATATAAAACATTGCATTCACTATTAAAATCACGCCATCCTCAATCATTTATTTATTTATTTGCTACATTTGTATACCCCCTCTCAGCCCGTAGGTGACTCGAGGTGGTTCACAAGGCAACAATTCAATGCCAACAACACCATAAAAACATTAAAACATTAAAAAGCATTAACACATCAATTAAAACCATGACAGTAGTAAAAACAATCATTTCGTCTCCTAGATAAAAACATAATCCAATCTCATAGTCCAATTGTTCCATAATCCTATGTCTAATTACACTGCCTTTTCAAACGCCTGCTCAAATAGCCAGGTTTTGATAATAATAATAAACTTTATTTATTACCCCACCACCATCTCCCCAATGGGGACTCGAAGTGGCTTATATGAGGCCAAGCCCAAATGACAATTACAATTTATAAAACCAAAAACACAAACTGAAAATGCGAACAATAAACAATAAAATCGTAGTTACATAAAACATATGAATATATAACAATAAAAAATAAAAAAATATGCACAGACATAATAATAATAATGGGCGGGCTACATGTAGTGATTAAAAGGACAAACTGATTAAAACTAATTAAAAACTTGGGTGAGATTAAAGAGGGAAGCAGGTAATTTACGGAGGAGGGCTCATTTTAGTGGGAGTTGTGGAATCAAGCTTTCCCATGAGGGGGGACGTATACTCCAATGATAGAACACCTTTCTAACCATCACTAGCCCCTCCAAAGTGATTCTGTGGTCATTATCTAGCAGAAACACACAATGGAATCACTTGGAGGACCTAGAAAATGCCTCAACATATTTTCTTAGAAATGTATATCAGAAACAGTTGGGGTACTACTCACCCTCTGTTATATCATGTTTTATATTGTTCCTCTTCTATACGGTTTTATATTGTTGCTTTTACATATTCTATTGATTTGTATGAATGCAAATGACCTATCGTCTAGGTATTAAGAAACAAATGAATGAACTGCTTCTGTAAACATATTAAATTAATATATGAAGGAAGTAATATATACTGTGGGGTAACTCAATCTACTGGCATCAGCTATCCTTTTTGCCACTGCTGCTCATCGCTGCTTCTCTCCTCTAACAAACATTCATTCCGACAGAAGTTCTCTGTTGCAGAGAAGTATAGCTTAGCACTGCAGCATGTTCTCTAACAGGAGAAGTTATGCTCTGGGGTTCGTTTTTATCTACTGCAGGCCCACATGGCAATTTCTTGTCCTTGAAGACAACATATAAATTGGTAGGTATGCAGCAGTAATCTAGGCACCATGGAACGTGGGACAATTTGGCCATGATAAAATATGAGAAAGTTTATCAGTGTTGCATTAGGGTTTGAAATGTTAATCACAGAATGGTTACTTTACTGATGGAATCATATTTACATGTCTATCTTCATAATAACAGCCAAGATGTATGTATGTGTGTGTTCAACTGAACTCCAGAGCATTGTTTCATAGCAGGGAACCTCCTGATAATAAAACATTCTATGGAAGTCAGTTTCATTCACTGGAATGGCTAAGCAATTTGCTTTATGTCAGCAGTCCATTCAATGAATGAGTAAGCCAATTTTAGAGTGCACACTTAAGTAGGATGTGCTTGGTTATTTTAGTGGGATTTAAGGCAGATACAAAGCAGATAATGTGAGATTTTATTCCACACAGCCATATAACCCAGAATATCAAGGCAGAAAATCCCACAATATCTGCTTTGAACTGGATTATCTGAGTCCACACTGCCATATATCCCAGTACAAAGCAGATAATGTGAGATTTTATTCAGCTGTGTGGAATGGGCACAAGATGCTTCTGGATTCCACCCAATATATTTTAGATTGCTCCGAGTACTTGTATCCAATATGATGCCAAACTAAAACCAAATAGGATGTCAGGGCTATTTTTGCTCATCTGCTTCGAAACAGCCTTCCTAGTTCATTTCCAGCCTTTATTTCATGCACACCTTTTTATCTGAGTTAATGTTTCATATTTATTTTTATTTTTTCCATTAATCTCTTCCTCTTCAGGTGCAATCTAGCTCCCGTGGTGGAGTTTGCTGCCGATGTGGGAACTAAATCAGATTTTATTACCATGAACCCATCAGTTGTACAAAGAGCATTTGGAGGCTTTCGGAATGAGAGTGACAGAGAAAAATTTGTGCATAGACTATCCATGCTGAATGACAGTGTCCTTTGGATCCCTGCTTTCATGGTCAAAGGCGGAGAGAAGCATGTGGAGTGGGTTAATGCATTAATCCTTAAGAATAAATTGAAAGTGCGAACTGCCTATCCATCACTGAGACTTATTCATGCTGTCAGAGGGTAAGTGTCTGGAAAAGACTGGTCTGTCCTTGGCACAATAGAACTCATAACTAAAATTTCCACTTGACAGAAAGAATAGCTCTAAAAGGTTTATGATAATTCCATTCTAGTCATAATGGATTCTACTTTTGATAAAGTCACATTTGTTTGGTAGAAAATGTTTCCCACTCTTTTAGACCACTCAGGGGCAAAACACTGGAAATGATTTAATTTTTGACCCTTTCTCCTCTCTCTTTATGAACAAAAAGGAATCAATTTTTTTATGAGAAATTATTTGAAATCCTTTAAATTAGGTGAGAACTACATAGTACTAATTTGAAATGTACTTTGCTCAGTTCTGAACTGTAACTTTTAGTTCTGTCTACATCAGTGGTTCTCAACCTTCCAAGTGCTGTGACCCCTTAATACAGTTCCTCATATTGTGGTGACCCCAACCATAACATTATTTTCGTTGCTTCTTCATAACCGTAATTTTGCTACTGTTATGAATCGTAAAGTAAATATCTGATATGCCGGATGTATTTTCATTCACTGGACCAAATTTGGCACAAATACCCACTACGCCCAAATTTGAATACTGGTAGGGTTGGGGGGGGGGGGGTTGATTTTGTCATTTTGAAGTTGTAGTTGCTGGGATTTATAGTTAACCTACAAAGAGCACTCTGAATTCCACCAACCATGGAATTGAACCAAACTTGGCACACAGAACTCTCATGGGCAACAGAAAATACTGGAAGGATTTGGTGGGCATTGACCTTGAGTTTTGGAGTGGTAGTTCACCTACATCCAGAGAGCATTGTGGACTCAAAGAATGATAGATCTGGACCAAACTTGGCATGAATACTCCATATGCCCAAATGTTTGGGGAAAATAGACTTGACATTTGGGAGTTGTAGTTGCTGGGATTTATAGTTCACCTACAATCAAAGAGCATTCTGAACCCCAACAATGATAGAATTGGACAAAATTTCCCAGATAGAACCCCCCGTGACCAACAGAAAATACTGTGTTTTCTGATGGTCTTTGGCAACCCCCTCATGATCCCCTAAGGGAACCTGACCGCCAGGTTGGAAAACACTGGTCTAGATGATGTTGTTTTAAAATTTTTAAATTCTTCCCTTTTCTGATGAAAGAAGCACTTTGATGCTTGTGTTTTCCCCAGCAAATGTGATCATTTTGGTTTAACAAGATGAACATACTATACAGTAATTACCTTCTATGTGTGATTTTCTCCTGGTGTTCTTATACCTTTTTTAGCCTTCTAAATGCTTAGAAAATATAGATGCTGGTGAAGAAATGTGTTATAATTGTGTTGCTCTAGCCACTTTTTGAGGTGTCAAATCATGTCTGTCTCCTCTTGCCCTACGTTTTTGCACCAAGGATCACTCTAGTTAACACATTTGATTGTTTTGATGTATTCAGACACCCTAGAAATTATCCTTTTCAATATATCGTTGAACATCGCATTGTTTTCTTTTGCATTTTTAGAAATATATTCTGTTATAATGTACTTAATGGTAAGTTCACATCCTAAAGATTTGTTTTTCATTAAATTGGATGTTTATGAATTAACTAAAATATGCCTTTTACTCTTCCCATATTTATGTATTTATTGCACAGACAATGGACTACAGTAGACTATGGACTACAGTTTTAGTCCTACTTCGGGTAAATCCATTGAAATAAAAGGGATTTACATTAATTGTGACTAATAAGCTTATTTTATTGCATTGGTTTACTCTAGGTAGGACTAATATTTGGATTTAGCTTTCTATTGGTTCCTTCTTCAAATTAAACTATTTATATTCTAATATTTATTCATCCATGAAAAGTTTAAATTGTGTGGATCTTAAATAGATCAGCTTTATGACACCATTATTAAGCTAATTGAGTTAAGATCAGTACAGTTCTCCTATTTCATATATTTCACTCTTGTGCACTGGAGCAAAAGTTGTTGAAAGGGTTTTTTCACTACACAAGAGCTTTAATGCATTTTAATTTTCCGTTGGAATAAATTTTGGTCAAATTTGTGAGACTTTTGTGCACAGAAATGCTTGATTTTGTCCAAATGCCATGTTGGTAGTTATTGGGTTATTCTGCCTGAAAAAAAGAATAATATAAGCTGGATTGTAGATTTTTTCGGGGTATATGGCCATGTTCTAAAGGCATTCTCTCCTGACGTTTCACTTGCATCTATGGCAAGCATCCTCAGAGGTAGTGAGTAAACCAGGTAGTGAGGGTTAAAATAATCTAAGCTGTTTCTAGAAATATTGAGGAAAAGGTGTGCCTCTCCCACCTTCAGTAATTTAGAAATTAACTTCTGGTTGCTTTTGGTTCAGAGCACAAAAAATACTGCATTTTAATAAAAGGCACAGTCTGTAGCATATCCCTAAGGAGCACATTTGAGTCCTACTTTCCTGGATTATTCCTGTTGTGATTTAATATGACGCCCCTAGGATGAATGCTAGAGGGGGATTTGGATTAGGCACTATTTGTATGTTCATGACAGGTCTCTTCATTTGCTTTCATAAAGCAAGTCTTTCCATCAAGGTTGAGGTCCTAGGGAATGCAATCATGTCACTTCAAATACAGGGTGACAGTTTAAATAAGAGTTAAAATGAAGGGGCAGGAAACAAAAAGGGATCATTAAAGATCTCATTGCATACATGTGTGCTGAATCCAACTGCTTAGTCTCAAGTAGGGAACTGGCGTAGTGTAATAATTCTGAGTATTGGGTTAGGACTTAAAATGATAAGGGTTAAAATTCTTGTTTGGCTATGGAAACCGACCAGGTAATCCCGTGCAGGTCAGCCTTAGAGGCAATTGGAAACCTCCTCTGTATAAATCTTGAAAAGTACATTTTAGATAATGTCCCAGAAGTCAGAATCAGTTTGAGATCCATAATATTAATAATAAAATCACAAATAGGGATTCTTTGATTTACAGCAGGGATCCCCAAACTAAGACCTATGGGTCATTTACCCAGCCCTTGCTCTAACCTTTACAGTTAGGATCGCCTTAAGTCTGAAATGACTTGAAGGCACACAACAACAATCCTCATTAAATGACTATCAGCCAGAAGCAGGGCCACACTTCCCATTGAAATACTGGTAAATTGATGTTGGTTAAAATTGTTCTTCATTTTAAATATTGTATTGTTCTTTTGTGTTTCTTTTGTACTACAAATAAGATATGTGCAGTATGCAGAAGAATTCATTCATGTCTTTTTCAAATTATAGTCCAGCCCCTGAAACAGTCTAAGAGACCATGAACCAGCCATCTGTTTTAAAAGTTTGAGGACCCCCGATTTAAAGTGATTTAAACTAGCATTGATGTTGCATCCAGCAGTTGTTTCAGTGAGTCTAGCTGAAACTAGGAATTGATTTAAGACCAAAATGTTCCACACCATCAGCTGTTTTGAAATGTTTTCCATCTACAGTTGGAAATCAAATGAGCAACCTCATCCAAAATTGACCCAATCTGTATATATGATTTCAGCACTAGCTTCCAGGTACACAAACCAAACTTTACTTCTCATCTTTTCCATTATATTGGCCTCTTCTGATTATCATGGAACTTTTATTTTCTCTTTCAAAATATTCAGCTCAATCTCTGTGTCAGAACAGATGCCAGCTACATTTGCATTAACATTCACATCAAAGTGAACACTATGTTACAAAACAGTGAATCAGGCTAGCCATTCCAAAACTCCTTCCAATTATTTTCTCCTTGAATTAAATGTCATTCTATCCTCACATAGTAATATAAAGAATTAGAGGTTATTCAGGTATCCAATTTTAAAAGGTTTGGAATTTTCCACAGCAGTTTCTTCTTAATGTTTTCCTGGTTCTTTCATTCCTCATTTGCCATCTTATTTCTGCATAGAAAATGGATGTCATACCATATGGGTTATTCTGCCCTATAACACCTGCACATTTATCGATGGCACATGGCATCTCTGAGTAGATTCAGTTGTCTTGCCTAGCTTGGAAGTTGCTCCTTTAAAGGAGGCCACAACTAATACAGAGGTTAAAAGTTGGTACCTTTTTCGCCAAGGACCATTGGCAATTATGTGGAAAGTAGAAACAGAACAGTTTAAGGGTTTTTCCCTTGCCTAATATAATTGCAGAGATGGAGTAACATTGTACTAGAGTTTAAGCCGTGCAACTGTTTTCTTTGTGGCTTCAGAATTTAATACTTTCAGATCAGCTTACCAGAAATCTTTAAAGCTACACTAAAACCAAGTTTCACTACACCAAGCAAGAGAGCAGACAATGTTTCTGATTAAAATCAGGATTTAAAATCACAAGCAAAGATATCAATTTGATGCTGAAAACAAATTAGCAGAAGGAAAGAAAGGGGTTCTTGAGACATCGTTCAAGAACTAGGGTGACACAATCAAAGACATCCTGAGTGCCACTGTCTTCTTGTTTTTAACTGCTGCCCAGTTGGCTTTGACTTATGGTCACCCTATGAAGGAGAAACCTCCAGGTCACTCAGTCATCAACAGCCCTCCTCAAATCTCACCTAATTAGAGATACTTAGAAGTTTCATTAGTAAGGTTGAGGAAAATACTTCAAAAGTGGATGAAGCAGGCTTTACAAGTTCTGGAATTGTTTTCATTGACTTAGATCTAAACAGAAGTGGAAACTTCCCATGCAAAGGTGTAAGCTTTGCATGGCTACTGGAGGCACTTCCCTAGAATGGATGGAAGTTTTGAAGTGATGAGTATCATTTTAGTAGAAATATGATTCATCTCCCCATAGTTGGCAAGACTGTGTCCAGGTGTCCCATTATTGGTCTATTGTCCAGGAACTAGGTGTTGATGGGCACCTAATCCTTTATCTTTCAAATAGTTATAATTCTTTAAAGTGGACTAAGGCTGTCCAATTGAGGACTCTCCTCTGTAACATAATACATATGGTTGCGTCCGAGGGATAGATAATCCATGTTCATGAAAATAATTCAACCAAGATTACTTTCTTACACTTTTGCTCACA